GAATTATACTAAGTGTATATTTTATGGTGTACATCTTTTTTCACATTGCGTGGGAATACAAAAAGTGTTGGGAAGAAAAGTTTAAAAAAATAAAATAAATTTGTCTAATCACGTGTAGACACATGACAAAATGTAAAAAAATGATGTAAAATAAAATGTACATATTGCATGATTATAATTTTACTGAAAATATTGTCACATGTTTCAATTTTTCTTTCTAATTGTATGGGGATGAGGCATGGCAATAATACTTAATCCTACTGATATTGTCGCTCGAACGTCGAAATTACTACATTGAAAGTAACATGATTCACTTTTTTCATGCAATTTGCAATAACTGAACGATAGATAACATGGCTTTAGAAGTATAACGTGAGTTCATTCTGTTCAATTTAATTTACTTTTTTTTTCCGATCTAAGAAAGTTCTTTCTCATGCGGCCTAACTCAGCAAGTATTAAATCATTAAATGTGAGTAATGTTTCTATTTTGGCCATCCAAATTGTGATAATATCAAGTATTACTCCTTTAGAAATTAAATAAAAATAAAGTATGTCACGAAATCGTCAATAATGCACAATAATTAGAACCTAATTAATTTTGTACAGCACTAATTTTGTCCCCTATTTATATGGCACTTGGTACGGTGTGTGGTAGGTTACATGTGCAAAGTAAACGCATTGCTACGCATCGATGTTAGAAAAAGTTGATTAATAAAAAAATGACACGCAATCCTACTGATTGCAATTTTCTTCAAACTTACGACAAAAAATGGGGGTCCAATTTGACCTGTCCGTCTTCGAACGTATAAGCACGTTGTACTTTTCACACTTAACTCTCTAAATGAGTCAATTTTGGAACTATACTTCAAGTACCAATCGTTCGTTTGATTTTCGTTACTGTCCTGAGAACCAATACTGAATTCGGTTCTCGTAAATTTCTCTTTTTACTTGCTTCATGATGTACTTCAAATTATCTCACGTTAAAATTTTATTTTTCATACACTTCTTCTTCTTTTCTTTAATGGATAATCAAAATTCAAATCTAAATAATTTTATAAATATTTTACAAATTCATAGTTTTAATG